GAGGCTGACCTTATGTAGGGGGTATATGTATAGGGTCTAAAGCCACTTATAAACTGTTACTAGCTGGAGCCGAGTGGTCAATTAACAAGAGGTATCGTCAAGCGTTCTCCAGTTGCCAGCGTGCACTGTTACCCAGGAAAATTAGTAGGCGATGACCTTATAGCAGCACCGCATAATCATTACAAGTAGGCAAACCATGAGATCGAAATTCATGTGCTATGTGGATGGGAACACATATGTATATAATGGAATAGTTCGGTTTAATAAGCATTTAAGCCTCATAAGGAGATAAGGAGCTCCAAAAACTGCGACTTTTTTTTAAGCGGCTTGATAAACTTCTAAAATGAGCCACTAAAAGCCTCGTAGTTACTTTACAAACCTCTTACGTTCGCTTTCTAAAGGCTCAACAAGGTTGAGACCTCTCTGAATAGCTGCTTAGTGGACCACTGATTCCGGGGACACAAACCGACAACATAATAATCCTCCTCGAACTCCTTTTTACTGAAGTAGTGCCATTATTTCCCTGTCCAAGTTATAGTTCTGCTTTCTTTTACCTGATCCCCTAATTTTGACCACCACTACACCTGGCTTTAGCCTATCCTCGATTTCGTTGTGCTTATTCTCATCATAATCACCAATTCTCTTCCAGTTAACCTGTGTTCATCGTTTTTCTTTTCAAATCTTTAGCACTTATTTGGAGGCAAACGAGCGAGTATGTAGCATTTCTGAACCCGAAATTTTGACATTTAGTAAACTCACCATGGAAGATTCACCTGCAAGGAGCGACGGTAACCCGCATTACGATGCCGTTGTCGTTTCAGGCCACCTGCGTCATCTTTTCGAGGTCAATATTCACTCCAGAAAATGAGTTCGAACAACTGTAATATACGCTTACCTGCCTCAAGTTGCTTCCAACCTGGTTCTTATGACATTATAGTTCCCGAATGACAACGTCCAGTTGTTATTTTTCGAAGTTCCTCTTCAACACCAATACTAAATTTAGTCTTTTAATGCTCAGTAACCTGCAGAAGTGTCCAATGCAATTGTTGTGAAATTCTTTACACCTCCGAGGAAATCAGGCATTAGTTTTGAGGGGGAAAAGGTGGAAAGAAAGGTTTTCACTTCTCAATTTATAAAGAGTAACTTAAAATTTTTGTGACTGATTCCATTTACGGAGCAAGTGCCTATACTACTTCTTTTACCCCAGTCGTCTTTTCATCAACTACTGCGACGTGAAATTAAGACTAAAAGCGTGTCCATGACTTCGATGTCGTCTTCCTAATCCAGCTTTCTCATTAGAGTTGTATTGTAGCCTGTCCTAGCTGCTTGAAAGCTGACGTCAAAGGTCTGACAATCTAGTCAGTCCACGGAGCTCGGCAAAGTGTCCCAACTAGATTAATGGGCAAGTTTTATCTTTAACTCAGCTCTGCGCAATGGGTGTCAACAAAGTGCTGTTGGGTTAGTGCAGTAAGCCGAAAGTGGTCTGAAAGATCACAACCACAACGTGGTAGCTGTTGTCTAATAGACTGCATAACACCCTTCTGCAGGATGCTCCGGAAAGAGTAGAAAGCGCCAGCCTACAGCTGTGGCTTTATTGTAGGGATCACATTTCATGCAAGATTGAATAGAAACATTAAGACGTTTACTGGGATTAGCGCCTGAGATTTGATCTCATTCTAAATATGTTCAGATCCCCTACGAAGGGGTGATGATTCTTGGCCAACAAGTATTGTGAATTTTGCTACTTAAGCTCTTCATTCAATCCACTAGTTGCATAATCTGCAAGAAGTTCTTGGGTCCTTCCCCAGGGAAGTAGATAATTTGTAAGGAGCAAGAAACTGAGCGAAAATTCCGTTTATACTGAGAAAGGAATTCTAACCTAGGCGCGGAAAGCAGGGCGGCGAATCATGGTTAACTGAATTAGAGGGATTCCAACGTCCCGCGAATATGTAGTACTCCACCATCCACCCCCGTGTGTTTCACCAGGGGTACCTTTACTTTGCGATTGAATAACCGCAGAAAGTTAGGTATATGTCATTTTGGACGACCATCGGGAATCTACCAAATCTAGGCATAAAAACAACTCAGAAACAGCGTCGGTTGCGGTAATTAAGTAAAATTAAATCGAATGACTCAAATTCGCTCCACAATTGAATTACTTGAAAACATTGCTTTCGCAGTGATTTCGACATTTCAAAACAAACCCTGAGTGTAGTGAAATCACTTCTCCACATTTCGAACATGTGGCACTCATACCACCATTCACCATTCTGTTCACTTTGTACTGGGCTACTTTCACGTTTCTACCCTTTTTAATTTTTAGTTGCTAACTTGAAAACATTTTAGGCATATGTTCCTACGCTTGTGAATGTGCAATAGGGTACTACTATCGTTTTTGATAATATTTGAAACTCACTCTAGAAGAAGTGGGATTCGCTCGTGAGAGAGAGACATTAGCAATTTTCAATCGCAGCCCCTTACTTTCATTTTACATTAAAAAGGATTTTCTCGAAAACAGTATCCGAGAGGTGATAAAAACACTGACTTTTATATAGGCTGGCCACCGCATGCCATTGTGTAGGGCACATAACTTTCAATACGCCACTACGATTCTGAATGGGAATGAAGGCGTGGGCGTATCTCTTTGATGAGATTGATAAGCGCCCAAAGACTCTAGCCTCTATCCTTCACTTTAAACTAAAAAAGGGTAAAAAAAAACTCGAATCGTCAAAATCGCAACGCTATGAAAAGGAGTTATTGAATGCATCTTGCGCCGAATTCAATGCCACGTAACGTCCGCAGGATTTGAAATGAATTGTAAGAACGTGGCTTGAACTTCATAGTATTTACGCCTATCTTTGTATCTACTACTTGCGGTTGGACAGTATCCGAGAATCAGGCAGTGCTAAAAGAACTAGACATTATCTAGATAAATGTCTGCTAAGCTGTTAGAATTTCCAATATTTGCATAAAGTAAGGTGTGGGGAGATGGCAAACCTGAGCGCTGCAGCACTTCATCGTGGGTAACGCATTGTCGAGGAGCCAGAAACAATAGGCAGAAGAAGGGTTTGCATATGGAAGAGAAGGCAGCATCTGTTATGCGGTCAATTCATGAACTTAGAATGCTGCGCTGGAATGTGCGCTACAATTTCAGATAGTCCTTTTCTGTTCAAGTGGTAACTCATATAACCAGCAAATGAACTTAAAGCAAAAAGAACCTCGTTTACTGATAGAAATCGAAGAAACTATGTTTGTCAACCGAGTTCAGTTAAGGAACATCAATTGTGAGCCATATATAATATTTGAAATGATCATACTTGTCTTTTAAGATGCCATCAAAATTCTTTCAGGAAATGTGCCTTTGTGGATTGCTTTCGCTATCATTATCAGTTCACTTAATCTGCTGCATAGAGGTTGGTCCCAATTCATTACAATTCGCCTGATCGTAGATTTTTTGCGATTTTTAAATGCAATTATGAGCATGTGCTCCATTATTCGAACTCTCTTTTGACAACAACTACGAAGCTGTGAAGAAAAGTGCGATAGGTAAGACAAGGGAAAAGTATCTATCTCGCAAAATGGGGTGCGTGGGTTTCTCAAATGGGCATTCGAATGACGTTCTAGACTGAGCGTTTCACCTATAACTCATCATCATTGTATGCATTCGAAAGCATCCGAGATTAAGAAATTATAGTCCAAGAACAAGCTGGAACCAGGTCGTCGTTTTCCAGAACATGCCGTGCTCTTGTATTCAAAACAAAAAAAACAAAGGGAACGGAAATGCCCTTAATGCCCTTGGTCAGGGTCAGCGACCTCACGGGTGAGCCAATTTGTGTCCAATTGTAATTACTTCGCACCTTCCTCGCCCATCCTTCGCACCTTCTTCGCCCAGCCACTCACCCGCCTG